GTGTCAATCAGGGCTGTTGCTGCTAGCTACTTTTAGACACAGCAGGCAAACCTGTGGCAAGCCGGGGGTGGGTAACAATGATGAGAAAACGTGAAAGAAAGTGTGGACTATTGGAAAAAGTGCTTTTGAAAGAAAAGTGAAACAGTGTGTTCTCAAAGATGAACCTGCACATTTTGAGTATGTTTACTCTACCTTCTGCTGTGAAGCAGGATTGTCCACCATGAACAGAATAAAAAATAAATATGGATCCAGGATCAAAATGAGCACTGAAGTATATTGTTAGAATGACCTGGATCATCTGTGATCGATTGGTTTACCCTATGAGAAACACATCACTCAGTGTTCGATATGTTTGGTCTTGGGCTCAGTGTGTGTTGTTGGCGAGCTGCAATAAAAGTTACATGAAAAGTGCCTCACCAGAAAATAAGCCTCACCGTTTATTTTATTAGTGTCAGAAGTACACAACATGGTGTCAGAAGAGGTCTTTTCGTAGTCTACATGAGCTGCGAGACTACAATAGTTTACGTTAAATCCTCCGCTGTGGTAAGGAAAGTTTAGTTAAATGTCTTTGAGTGACCGAATGTTAGCGTTAGCCAGAGCTAGGCTACAATGGATCAGTTCAAGCCTCCAGCCCCGCTAGTGCTAACCGGCAACATCAGTGAGAATTGGCGCCGATGGGAGCAACGTTTTCAGCTGTACATGACGGCTACAGGAGCTGAACCAGTGAAGATGGCCATCATACTACACACGGTCGGTGAGGAAGCACTAGAAATCTACAACACCCGGGATGTGTTTGTGGAACAAGGTGAGGATGGACAGCCTGGTGAGCTAACAATGAAGGACATCTTGGATGCGTTCAGAAAGTACTGCATACCGAAAAAAAACATTGTGTTCGAGCGTCACCAGTTCTGGTCCCTAACCATGTCTGAGGGAGCCAACGTAGATCAGTTTATGACTGAACATCGTCAAAAGTGTAAGAACTGTGAGTTTGGACTAACAGAGAATGACGTGATCAGGGATAAGGTCGTGTTTTCTGTGCCAGACGCTCGCATGAAAGAGCGATTACTACGAGAAACGGACTTTACTCTGGATAAAGCTGTCGACATCTGTAGAGCAGCTGAAGTCACTAAATCACAGATGCGAGCTATGAGATCAGCTCAGCCTGAGGCGTCCGTGGAAGCTTTCCATAAGGTGTCTGCCAGCTACGAGAACGGAAGAGTCTCCATGAAAAAAATGTCACGACCAACTGAGAGAAAGACACATGCAGAAAATGTGGCGGGGTGCACAAACCTCGTCAGTGTCCAGCGTTCGGGGTCATCTGTCACAACTGTAACAAGAAGAACCACTACACGAAGAGTTTTGCATCAACACAAGACAGAGGAGCCACTGCCCGGGGCGTGCACGATCTTGAGGTGGAGTCACTGTTTATATCAACAATGTCCTGTGTTGAACCCAAACGCACTCAGCAGGATAATTCGTGGTACACAACAGCCAACATTAAAAACACAGAGGTCGAGTTTAAATTGGACACTGGGGCAGATGCGAATGTGCTTCCTCTGAGCATTTTGCAGAAGATTCGGGGTCCTCATCAACTGCAACCAAAACGCATCGCTCTCGTTGCCTATGGAGGGACACGTCTGAAGCCAGAGGGCACCGTGAGACTTATCTGTGATGTGGGCAGAACGACGTCAGATCTTTTGTTCTTCGTCACCAAGCACTCCTCCACTCCGATCCTGGGCCGAGATGCATGTGAACAGCTGCAGCTGGTGAAAAGAATGCAGACCATCGCAGTCAAAACACCAGCCACAAAAGAGGAGCTAGTGGACGCCTACCCCTCTGTCTTCAGTGGGCTGGGACAGTTTCCAGGGGTGCATCACATCCACACAGACCCACATGTGACCCCAGTTGTGCACGGCTGTAGGAAAATCCCCATCGCTGTCATGGACCGGCTAAAAACCATGCTAGAAGACTTCGTCGAAAGAGATGTCATCCCACCAGTGACGGAGCCTACAGAGTGGGTAAATAGCCTTGTCATCACATAAAAAAAAAACGGGTCACTCAGGGTGTGTTTGGACCCTCGTGTCCTAAATGAGGCGATTAAGAGACAGCACTTCTCAATACCAACCCCAGAAGAAGTACTCCACCGCCTGTCAGGAAAAACCATCTTCTCCATCCTAGATGAAAAGGACGGATACTGGCAAGTGAGTCTGGACCAGCCCTCCTCGATGCTCTGCACATTCAGCACGCCGTGGGGCAGGTTTCGCTTTAAGAGACTTCCTTTTGGCATAAAGTCCGCCAGTGAGGTCTTTCAACAAAAGAACTGTGAGACATTCGGCAGCATAAAAGGAGTGCACATCATTGCAGATAACATGATCATCGCCGCTGCATCTGAGGAAGAGCATGATGCTATTCTGCAAACAGTCATGGACACTGCACTGAAAAACAACATCAAATTCAACAAGGAGAAAATTCAATACAAAGTGGACTCAGTCAAATACATGGTCACCTCGAAGGGAGTGAAGCCGGACGAGTCCAAGGTGTTTGCCATCAGAGACATGCCGCAGCCAGAGGACAAGAAAGCACTACAGAGACTGCTGGGAATGACAAGGTACCTCTGCCAATACATCCCAAATGAAGCCACGATAACAAGCCCAATCAGAGAGCTGCTTCGGAAGGACGCTGCCTGGCACTGGAGCAACCAACACATTGCTGCAGTGGACAAGCTCAAGGTCACCCTCATGCAAGCCCCAGTACTCCAGTTCTACGACCGGAGCAAGCCACTCACCATACAGTGCAACGCATGAAAAGATGGACTCGGCACCTGTCTGCTGCAGGAAGGTAGGCCACTGTCATACGCATCACAAGCACTCACAGACTCTGAGAAGAATTATGCTCAGATAGAGAAAGAACTGCTGGCAATAGCTTTCGCCACCAAACGCTTTCACCAGTATGTGTATGGCAACACAGTGACTGTACAATCTGACCATAAGCCCCTAAAAAAACATCTAAGCAAAGCACCTGCACGATTCC